TGACTCCAAGGCATCTGTTAGGCCAAATCATCTTTAAAAGTATGGATATATGTAACCTAAATGTCTGTATACCCGTAATATTCTGAAATTAAAAAAAAAAAAAAAAGTATGCAGGGGCTCTGGAGTCCTGTGCTGTGAACAGCTGTGCCCAGGGAGACAGAATTCTGTCAAAACACGAGTCTCTGGTCTTGAAGAAAGCCCAGTCAAATGAGGAAGATTTGAAAAGCAGAATGACCTTCATCTGTATCTATAGTCGTCGTTTCCCTTTACTGTACAAAAAAAGAAATGTTGGATCTCATCACCTGGAAGGTGACATTTCCCTTTAAACATATTTCTGGGTCCCTCTTGTTTTACGACTTGGAAAGTTTCGACCTTAAGCAGGAAGTGGACCTTCTCCTGAACACACTAGGCCCATTTTAGGTTAACCCAGGAAAAATCCAAAATTGTAATGGAGATGCTCTAAAGATGTCCTTGAGAAAAGACTGCCCTGCCTCCCTAACACAGGGCTCTCGGGGCCCTCTGTGTCAGCAGCCACCTGCCAACCGTGGGCTCCGCACCCAAAACGAAATTGTCCCCTACTTCCACAGCAGAGTCGACAGGGACTTAGTTCTTGCTGTGCCTTGTGCCTCACTGAACTGACCAGCATCTCACACTCACCAACGGTAGCTATTATTCAGCTTGCCGCTCTCCCCCAAAGACCTTGTGGCCAGCCCCAAACTTGTCTTCAGCCTGGATGATAAAGACAGACAGTGAACTGCACTCTCCAATATAGTTACCTGTGGCTGTTTAAATTAATTAAAATGAAAGAAAATTTAAGATTTGTTTTCTTACTATCGAATAAAGCAGATATAGAGAAGTTCCGTCATTGTGGGAAATTCTGTTGGATAGAGCACTGCAAAAATTACACTTGTCAGTGGTTGTTAACTCCGTAATAATCTATGTGACACTGGAAATAGCTTTAATCAACCCTTCTTACCAGGCTTCTGAGCTCTGAAACCAGCTTTTTCCTCTGATCCTTCACACACACACACACACACACACATATACACACAGAGGGAGGGAGGGAGAGAGGGAGGGAGGGAGGGAGGGAAGGAAGGAAGGATCTCCATATTTTCAGTTTTTGAGTTTGGGGATGAAGAGATGGCTATTAACATACTCTCATTTGTAATTGACTGGAGAACTTCCATATTAAGTCTTATTTTCTCCTAAATGCTAGTAAACAATCTTTGATAATGTTCTCACTGCTTCCTGCTAATTGCTTTTAGTGACACAATTCACTCTTTCATTGCCCAGAGGGATTGAAGAACTAGTAACATCATGCTGGGTTTTGAAAGGAAAATACACATTTTTCTTACCATAAAAGAAACTGCAAGTCAAGCTACTGCTGGTGGCTGACAGTGAAACTGTCTCACCCGACAGACATGTCTGTGTGCCGTGCTGGTTGGAGCTGGCAGCTCTGCCCTCCGGTACAGCAGCTCTCCCTTCAAGACGGACAAGACCTCTACACCTTCCAAAGCTAGGGAGGACATCCTCAGCTTTTACCCTGAGAAAGATCCAGGCTGAGAATCTCCCCCTTTAGTTGTGAGTCAAGGCAAGTTTCTCAGCCTTTTCAGACCCTGTTCCCAATATTGTGTCATCCATTTGTCACATGCGTCATCCAACCTCCTATTGGACGGTCAGGAGCTGAATGCATCTCTCACATCAGCGATGTGCGGATCGTTCTGCTCTTTACCATGTTAGTTGTAGACAGAGGAAGAGGAACTTGTGTAGGATAAGAGAAGAATTAGCCAGAGGTAGGAGGAAAACCAGGGCAGGGCGTCACGTAAGTCAAAGAAATTTAAGGTTCTGAAAGGAGGAAATTCCTGCAGCGACACACCAGACATTGTTATGGCAGAGTTCCAGTAACTCTGTTTTGGGTTTCTTGTAAACAAACATCGATGGCAACTTTGCAAGGAAGATGGTTGTTTTGCCCTAGAACCCTGGTAAATAGCCACAGTTCTCTGTTAGTTTCTGAGGGTAAGAATATGTTGCACGAAAGACCTTCCTTCTTCTTAGTTTTCCCTACAGTATAGCCAGAGTTGCTGATTTGTCCTGTCCCTGCTTCCCAGCCCCGGAATATCATCTTTCTCTTAGCTGAGGGAACTCCTTGTCCTTGAGCGCCTTGGCTCTGTCCCTCATGTCAGCCTTCCATGCTAATGATTTTTTGCTACACTTGGTAAAGTGCTGTGTGCAGTGCAGATGCTCTGCAAATATTCATTGGATAAACAAATTTATCCTGAAAGTATAGCAGCAGATTTTTTGAAGTCTTACAAATCAATATATCTTACACATGAATATTAAGTTGTGTGCCTTATTACTCCACGATATATCTGTTTGTATTCTACTGTATACCAGTTAAATTTCTTAATCTTTCTCCTGAAAATCTGTTGAGTATAATTGATCTTCTTTGAGTGTGCCATATTGACTCTTTGGCTTTAATTATCACTGCAAAACCCTGGAGCTTACCCCAGCTTGAGAAGTAAAAGATTCCTGTAAAGTGCAGGCTAAGATCTTACTCAGAATAAGCCCAGCACATCTCAGTGACTTCCTTCCCAGCCTCTGTTACCCTTCAGCCACTCACTTAACCAGAAATCTCACCTCAGAGGCAGCAGGGGAAGGAAAGCATTATAGAAATTTCTCCAGCTGGCTTTATGGTCATCACAGCCATGTAGATCAGCTGACAGGACCTTGTGGGGAGGAAGAGCCCCCATAGCCTGCCAGGCCAGGTCCCAAGAGCACTGTCGATGCTCAAAAAGCATGGCCTCCTCCTCTGGAATTCACAATTCCTATTGCGAGCTACAAGTCAAATTCCCAAATGTGTTCTCCTCGTGGAAAACCGATAATCACACATTTGCCTAATTAAAATGGCTGTGAATTACTCAGGCATTAAGTGTGTTTTCTCCCTTTGAAATTCTCTCCCAGAAAAAGGATCCACATTTGATGTGTATATATAACATAATTTTGAAAATTTAGCCAGTCAAGATGTTTTCATAGCTATTCAGTTACTCTTTTTTTTCCGTCTCAAATTTTTCCGCTGATGTTCAGATCCCTTTAAATACATGGATTGCCGTGTTCTGACTACACGCAAGAACTCTCAAACCCTATCTAGCAACGAGGAAGACAGGAAACCAGAGATACGTGCCTTTTGTGGATCAAGTTTGGGCCTTTTCTTTGTTCACTGTGTGGCTTTTACTTTCATTCTTAAAACTCCTTTTCTAACAAAAGAATCATATAGTTAAAATGTGATTTTGCGCCAAAAGAAATTTGAGACAGAAAATCACTTTTCTTAAAATGTAATGGAGAGCTTTTTGGTGAGGCTGGTTTCAAAACAATGTGTGTTTCAGGCATAGTAATGAGGTGACTTGGCCGAGGTCACAGAGTGTACCAGCTGCATAATGGTAAGGGAAAAAAAAGGATTATAGGTGTTAGATGCTTTGTGCTTTAGGCATTTTGACCAAGTCCCCTTGGGTCTTCATTTATCAACTTAGCCGGCACCAAGTGGGCAGCTTGTATGTGTCAGGCACTGTGCCAAGGGCTTGGAACATTGCAATTATGAGAACAGTAGCTGTCATCAGAAAGACCCTGCCTTTTCCACACTGTCAGGGCTGGAGCCTTCTTCTTCTGTCAATAGTAATTGTTCACAATACATCCCCTAGGGCAAGCTGCTTACCTAGGGTCTGTAATGGGGAATATTAAGGTGGTAAACTTATGGGCACCAATCACATCAGTCCAAGCCATCTTAGTGGTGCAAAGAAGATGGTGGAGCAACTCAGAGGACGGGGAGAGACCCTTCAGCTGTGGTGATCAAAGAGTGCTTCCTGGAAGGGGCAGCATCGAAGCAGAGCCTTGAGAGCTACACAGACATTACTATCACCATTCTAGTTCCTTATCCATAAACAGTTCTCTTTGCCTCTTTCTCCCTGCCTCATAGACTTATTCAAAATTTCTTATTACATTTGGGAGCCCGAGGGGGTAAAGTTGAGGGAGTTATTTATAAGAATGATTCTAAGGCCCTGGTCATACCTGTTCAGAGAACTAAATTCTAGGAATTGGAGAGGAGAATGATTGTGAATATCCTCAGACTTTGGATAAATCCCTGTGTTGTTTAGATTATTTCCTCACGAATCCCACCCCTTTGTGTATCACTAGTGTCCTGACAATTCATTCGTTAATTTGTGTGTTAGCCTCAGAGCTAGGGGTTTGTGGTGTCAACTGAAATACGGCCTTGTACACAACCTTCTCACAGTCTAGAATCTCAGAGAGGAAGGCGGAAGCAGAAAATTTCCAAGAAAGCTGTTTTTTCTACATCTCCCTCTTTTGTCAGGCTTGAGTGAATAAGGAATAGTCCCCATGCTGGTTATAGATACTAATCCGATACCCTCTGAAAACCACCACCTCATAAGATCTATTGCCACTGAGCTTGAAGGATTTGATGACTTTCCTGATGATTACGAAATGTATACCAAGCAGGACAGGTGATACCTAAATATCAAAATCAAAAAGGGGCTTACTGCCCAGGGGCCTAGCATTCATTCTTCCTCAAGGCTTAAAATATTATACAATGAGTTGCTTGTTCCTCCAGGCAAGAGTATTAGGAAATAACCGTGCTGATATTTTTGGAAACCAGAATCACTTACCCTGTAAACTTGTTTTTTTCCCTCAGACAAGTTTTGGTATTGTCGGCTTTCGCCAAATCACAAGGTCCTACACTATGGAGACTTGGAAGAAAGTCCTCAGGGAGAAGTGCCCCATGATTCCTTGCAGGACAAACGTAAGTGGAGCGTCCGGGTAGGAGGCCTGAATGGTGGGTGTTTGTTATTTTCATCAGGTACAAGAACTTGATGGATTTGGGGTTTGGGACTGAACAGGGAAGAACATGAAGGGGATGCTTAGGTGTCTTTCCTAAAAGACATAAACTTGAGGTTCAAACGTCTACTTCTTACATTACTTATCCAGGTACTTTTTCAAGGAACAAAAACAACATAAACCTGTTTCTGTCAATTGTCTTTTTCTGATGACCCAAAGTAATTTCATAGAACTCACATACTTGACCCTACCACATTGATTCATACAGTTTAGTGTATCCCATAATTCTAACACAGAGTTAATGGCAGATCCAGAAATGTCTAGCTTTCCAACTTACTTCAGAGAAGTAACTTGGACACTTTAAAAATTTATGATCAGTTACGCTCTACTGTTTGCTAAGTATTACTCCAAATATATATTATGTATATTTATTTGCTTCTTCTGCATGTTGTCTGTCTTAGCATGCATGCTTTTGAGGTGGCAGTAATGTGCAGGATTCTTTTAGCCCAACACAAAACCAGGTACCAGGTTTTTTGACAGTGTTAAGTGCACAAATTAAACAAAGTATTATAGAAGCATTGAAACATTGAAATATACAATTAATTTGGAAGAGAAATGAGATAAAGTGAACACAGAGTCAGAAGATAACTCACGTAGAGAAATCAAAGGGAGAAAATATTCAGAACACTTTTAAATAACTTTTAAAAGTCACCTTGACCCTGCAGTGTTAAGTGTGTCCCAGATGGAGTCCTTACCTTGAGTCTCACGCCTCCCCTCCTGTCACCCCAGGCCCATGGAAGTCAGACCTGGACTGCCTTCCTTTGCGCTCACAGCCATCAAAATAAACCATGAGTGGGAAATTTCCTGACACTTTCAGACTCTGTGCTGACATCTCAGGCAGACAGCCTGGAACATTCTCTCTTCCTCCTGCTTAAAAATGGGACAATCTGGTCTTTGTAGTGTCATTTAGTTCAGAAAGCAATCTCATCTCCTTTGCTAGGAGAACTGCCTGCCCAGCCCACATTATTGGCTCCCTGACTAGGGGAGAAAGAAATCTGCAATCCACTGCAGCAGAGAGGCTGGCACAGTTCTGTGCATCCCTACCCTGGGGGCTCCTGGGCCTCTGCCTGTAGATGAAGACCCTCCCTCCAGAGTTCAGAAAGCCTCCCCACCCCAGCACGGACAGGCTAGTCCAGTGGTTCTCTAAGTGCGGACCCCAGACCGTCAGCTGCAGTATCACCTGGGAACTTACTAGAAATGCAGATTCTCAGGCCCTACCCCCAGCCCTGCTGAATCAAAAACCCTGGGAGTGGTGACTGGCAGTCTGTGTTTTAACAGACCCTCCCGGCGATTCTGATGTGCATGCAAGTTTGAGAGCAGCTAAGCTAGATATTATTGCACACTCCACATAATGATTGCCCCAAATGTGGTTTTCACCAATAAGTATTTTTGGAAATGATTGATTGTGTGTTGCCAACTTTTAATTTTTGCAAAAAAAAGAAAAAAAGACTGTTAAAAAATAAAGTCTAACTAAAATTTAATATCACAGTTATTTCATAAAAGAAAGAGCTCTTGATCACACACACACACACACACACACACACACACACACACACACATGGTAAGAAGGACCTAATCTTGGAATAAAGGACCTCCCTTCTGCTGAATTAAATTAGCTCTATGAAAACCCACACCAGTGTCCTCATTTTCCTGCATTTTCAATTAACTAGTGAAAACTCACTGGTGAACACTCCCCCGTGAACTAGGAACTGACCAGGGCCAATGATGTGGAATCACTGCTCTGCAGCTGTTAAATGAAAAGAGTTAGAGGTTACTGTGGTTGAAGCAACCAGCAGCTCTGTAGGAGATCCGCTGCAGCCCCTTCTCAGCCCGGCCAAGAGAGGGAAAGTGGTCAGGACAGAACTAACAACAGCTTGGCTCATTCCTTCCCCATGAGGCGCAGTGAATCAGCACCCTACTCACTGGGCTATTATTTATCCCCATGTTTATAAAGATGTAATCCACTTCTCAACCCAAAGATAGGCATTTGGCAGGTGGGTTTGCCAGGCACGAGCACAGCGTCCCCATGCTAGCTGGCCAGTTGCCTAGGAAATTGCTAGCCCTGCTCCTAGAGAAGGCTCAAGGGCGTGGTAGCACTGGAGCCTTGCGTAGGGGCAGTTCCTGGGCTTGCCCACGAGCTGATGCCCCCCAACCCTACTAAGGGCCTTACCTCCAAGACCCCAGGTTGAAAATGGCTAGCCAGGAACCAGGAGTGCTGATGCAAGGGGAGAGCCAGCTTGCCAGGGTGGTTGCAGGAGAATCAGGCCAGAGTTGCAAATCTCCATGCAGCTTTTGGCAGTGGCCACAAAGGGATGCTGGTTCTGGAAGAGAGTTGCAGCAATCTCTTCTGATGGTGCCTTCAAAACTCTTGTCCACCCCTTTCCTCTGTGGCCTTTGAAACCTAATAATGTGAAGTTCCAAAGAGATGCTCCATAACAGTTTCTCCATTGGAAGATGAGCCAAGAATGCATACTTGTGCAGGTGTGTGTGTGTGTGTGTGCGTGTGTTGGTGAGATTGTACCCGTCTGCACATGTGTGCCAGAGGAGCGGGTATATCATGTAATGGAGTAAAGTGAAGCTATACTGTGCTGGAGACAGAAGGCCCTGGCCTGGGAAACTGAAGTTTGCTGCTTCAGACCTGCCACCTGGTTTGCATTTAATTTCAATTCCACATTCTGCCTACAGCAAAATAGCCACCATATTGGAGCCTTTAAAAGTCAGAGACCTTATACCACTGGAAAAATGAGACTTCTTTTTAATTAACGCTAAGTGCCATTGCTCTTGCCGCATACAATTGCTGTCTCTTGAGACCAAGGGCAAGACTGCCTTCCACCTTCAGTTGCTCAATGCTGAACAGTGAGATATTGATAAATCAAATAGTGCAAGGAAATCATCATAATTCCGCTATTGTGAGTGAACACTGAGGGCCTCTCCTTAGCTGTTTTCTTCCCAAAACGTTTAGGAAATCTCTCTTCTCATTTCCCTTCTATTGTCAGGAACTCTGACCCTTCAAAGTCCACATATCCTTACATCCCCTCTCGCCCCACATCCCTCCCGCCAGGTTCACGGGTTATCACCCCGACTAAACACTGGACTCTGGTGCTTCCCAGCAGTGCCCTGGGTAGGCACCCTACTGCCTCCCTTTGGAAGAATGTGGGCTGCGAGCCTCACCGGCATGCCAGCGGGACCTGGAAGGAAGCCCACCCCTTCCCAGGAGGAGACTAAGCCTGGCACAGTGCAGAACAGTGGCCACACAGTGAGGCACAGTGAGCGATTTGGGTCACTGAAGCATAGTGAAGAATTCAGGTCCCTCCAGCTACAGAGAGAATTAACTTTGATTATTGGTAACAAAAATAATTACAAATGACATTTATTGAGTGCTTACTGTATGCCATGCACAGTGCTAAGAGCTTATTCTCCCAGCAACCCGAAGAGGTAGATATTATTGTCCTTACTTTACAGATAAGGAAACTGAGGTACAGAATGACTAAGTAACTTGTTCAAAGTCACAGGGTTAGTAAAAAGAGCAAAGATCGGAATGCAGCCATCTAATTCCATGGCCCAGATTGTCACCCACAACTCTATCTACACTGCCTAGATTAAAAGCCAACAATGAGCTTGGCTCCAGTGTTAGGAGTTAATTCTCAGAGCAATCCTTTGAGATAGACAATGTTATAGTTTCACACTGCAGGCATGGAAGCTGAGGCTCTGACAACTTAAGTCCAAAGTGGTAGAGCCAGTAGTTAATTCTAGAATTCAAACCCCAGCTCTCTGATTCCAAAGACACAGCCCTTCCCACCACTCTATGCTACATGGCTGACCTACCAGATTAGCGAGACCAGATTCTTCACTCACCTGTCCTGGGATCAGCCTGTCCCTTCTTCAAATCTCAACAGTGGCTTCTACTGTAGAGCTGTGCACACAGCAAGTGCTCACGACTTACTAGCTACTTCCTGGAGATGGTTTCTGCCTCAGTGTGGCTCCCAATGGTGAAGGCTGAAACTATTTTCATCATTGTGGCCTCATTTACTTATTCAGTGCATTTTTGTTTTAAATCATGATAACTACATCTGGGGCTGTGCTCAGAATGATTTGGGGTGCCAGCACATTCCAAGCATAGAGAGAAATCATGGCCTAGCAAGGGTGCATGGAGTAGAAGAAAGAGCACTAAACTCAGCTCCACCCCCCTAGCTGTGTGACATTGCATAATTGATTTCCTCTCTTTAGGCCTCAGTCTCCCCATCTGTAAAATGGGAGTGTTGAATTAAAATTATCTCAATCCAGTCCAAACTGAAAAAAGCATTGAAAGAAATGAGGCCATGCCTTAGGGGGTAAGTGTGGGTGTTTCCACCAGGGACTCTCCTGGTTCTCACATCTCTGGACCACACTTCTTTATCTTCCTCCACACAAAAAGGCCTTATCCAAATGCTAGTCTGGCTTCTAAGTCAACAGGAAGCCCCTGCTGCCTCCTTAGAGTGTGATTCAGGACATATGCATGTGACCCCTCTGTCTCTGCTCCTGAGAATAGAGAGGACAGCATTTGAGCCTTTCCATGCCCAATTTTCTGGTGCAGCTAAAGACAAACTATGCAAAAACCAACCTTTAAAAGCTACACTGTATTTTTAGAATTTTGTGTTTTCCTTTTAGTCTTCATCTTATGAGTGATGATACAGCAGCTTATCTCTGGGACAGGGGACAATGCATATAAAAAACATAAAATATGTACTGCCACAAAACCCAGTGGGAAAGTGCCCTTTCTGAAGCTTTCCATTGGAGATTCTGAAGACTGCCCCATGACAGACTTTGGTGTTCCTTTTGTCCCATTCCATATGATGAGTTTTTAAAGCCAAAGGGATAACTTACTGCTCGTAGATTGTGGACACTCTAGGTCACTGACCATGTTATATTATGACACAAGACTTTCTACAAGGTACTTGTGACTCAAACTCTATTTGAGGCTTGAGGTTTTTCTTGAATGGATTTGCTAATTATATCACACATTCACTTCAATGATGGATTTTCCACTGAAAAGTTAACCAACTTCCCAGTGTGTCCAAACGTCCCCTCCTAGGGTAGTGATTAGACCTCCAGATCAGCCACTGAGGGGAACAAGGCTGACCCTTGCTTATGAAAATGGATTGCAGGAAAACTGGTCAGTGTTCATGGTCAAAGGTGGGTTCAGGAATCATAGGGACCTATAGGAAGATGCCAATGTAAAGCGGACCAGGAAGAGAAGCAGAAAATGTATCTGAGGTAGGGGGTTATATCAGCCACAAGAGATTGCATTGCTCCATACTGCAGGAACAAACAACCCCCAAATCTCAGTGGCTTAGCACAATGAAAGTTCATTTCTCACTCATATTACATGACTTACATAGGTTGGCAAAGGACTACTCCGCACAGTCACTCAGGAACACAGGCCAGTGGCTGCTTTCCCACCCCACAGCTGCACCATCGAAATGGAACATGTGGCTCCTTCAGTTTCTGCAGCTGGGGAAGACAGAATAGAGGAGGCCTCAGTCTAGAAAGGAAGCACTTCCTCTCACATTTCATTGGTCAAAACTAGTCATGTGACCCCGTCTAACTGCAAAGGTTCCTGGGAGGTGGAGTTTTCCATGTGCCCAGGAGAGGAAAGCCAGCCATTCGTGAACACAAGAAATGTCTGCCAAAAGGGTCTAGAATCAAGGCTGCAAAATGTAGTAGGACAGGTGGCAGGGGAGCCTGCAGAGATTCCTAGAGGGCCCATCACAACCCCATTCTTCTTATGGTGAGAGAAAAGTCTAGGGGTATCCACAAATTTGGATGAAGTTCTTATTTATTTTAAGGTACTTGGAAAATGTTAGTTTTTAGGGGGCCTTCCTGTTCTGTTTTTTTAATATTCTATACATTCTATCATTTTTATCTTTAACTATGAAATATCTCATTATCTTCATCATTAAGGGAGTCTAAGGAATTGAGCACACCAAGTTCCCACAGATCCTAAATTCCCACCTTTGGGAATCTATACCAGTCAGTGTGAGCTCCTTGAATCACAACCCCTTGTGGGACTGAAGGCTTAGGGATTAAAGAGGGACCAATGACTTTACACTGTTTTAAATTAAGGTTCCAAACCATCCTACTGTCTTCTGTCTCTCAGTTGATATTTAAAAAGTTTTAAATGCACACGCCTTGCCATATCTTTTCCTATCTTCCTCCAACTTCTGAGTAAGACAAGAGATAACATCATTTTGTCTAACTGCATTATTTTCAGAGTCCCCGATCAGAAAGTAATGTTCCCTTTATTTAATTGAGTTTAGTTTTGTTGTCTGTAAAATAGGGATAATAAAACCTGCCTCACAGAATTGTTGTAAGAATTAATGAGAGAGGAAAGAGAGAGATTTTGGAGAGTGAGAGTTCAGAACTGTTTGGAGTCAGATACATTTTTTGAGATAGGGCTTCTTTCCCTCATTATCCAAAACTCAGAAACTGTATAGATGCAGATGCTGTAGCAAGAGATACTGATGTATGTAAAGCTCTTGGCATTGTTCCTGGCACGCAGAAGCTTTCTGCAATATCAGTCTTAGTACCACGGTTACTATTACAAGCACTGTTATTTCTGATGCCATCAGTTCAAACACTACCATGTTGGGTGTTTTTTTTTAGGTCTTTGTTTTAGTGAACCAAACTCTTCTTACAGGCAAGCTTTTTCTCCCCAGGGTTACTTTATACCAGAATATAGAAATGTACCTTAGTTTCTAGTCCTGGGACACTGCTTGATTTCTTTTCCTCTTTTTACCACTCTGCTCTTTTTGCAGCAGTTTCTGGGAATGGCAACTGTGGTAGCAGACTCAGTGCTTAATCCTGCTTCTTTATTGACATCCAAGCTTTCACATGGTATAGTTACTTTCATTTTCTTTTGTGAATTGCAGTGCCAGTGGCAGATATCAAAGCCGTGGTGACGGGAAAGGACTGCCCTCATATGAAAGAGAAAGGTGCCCTTAAACAAAACAAGGTATGATTTCCAAATTATTGAAAAATAGCTCTATTTGCCCAATGCAGTCAGTGACTGCAGTCGGCCCAGCCCTCCTGTATAGCTGTGTGTGTGTGTGTGTGGTTGCACATCTCTTACTCAGCGTGCCTTTCCTGTTTCCTTTTGCATCTCTTACCCTTATTCTTTCTCTCCCTGACCACTTTTCTAATGCCCACCATCTCTTTCACTCTCTCACTTCCTACTTCCAATCCTAGGAATTGCCCTCTGGTTATTGTCACCCTGTCCTCTCTCCAGCCTCCTCCACTCACCCCCATCCATGCTCTGGGCCTCTCCTAATCTCCCATTTATGTTCATTTCTCCCTTCTCCAACTTCTACTCCAATCTCATTCATTTTCTCCTGCTGTGATCATTCCCTTAACATCCTCCCTGGGATCTCAAAGAAGCCTGGGACAGGCAGAGAGCAGCTGACTCAAAGAATCATAGAAAACTTTAAAGGCCTAATATCCTTCAGCATCGTGGAAAGTCAGCCGTGAAGTATCTCAAATCCAGCTTAAAGGAGAGCATTTCCCCAGAGGTGTGTAATAGCCTATGTTGCTTCATAGTGCAACGCTTTGCACCTTCCCTCCTAGTTTACCAACCATCCCATTACAGAGAGCATGGGAGGGGCATTATCTGAAAAGAAAGAAGAATTTCCTTTGCCCCCTGGACGTATTTGCACTTAGAGGGGCCATCAGGGAGCCAATTCTTTGTTATACCTGCTGACATCTTGTGATATATGCCATCTGTAAATAAAAGTCTCCAGATTTATCTGGATGCTCCAGACATTTTGGTACCCAAAATAACACATAGATTAGTAGGCTGCTTTTTTATTTCCAGCATCAGTATTTAAGAGGGACACCAAAATGATACACATCCTATTTATCAATCAGAGTTAAAATAAATAGTCCCTGCTCTATAATTTCAAATGTTACAAGACAAAGGAGAATCTGTGTCTTTGCGGGATGGCCCTGTCTATGGTTACGGGAAAATGAAAGTACTATGAAAGTACTGTTCGGGAATGCAGGGGACGGGATGCAGCCACAGAGGCTGATTGCAAGGTCTTTGCTTCTTAAGTTACGTAACTACGACTCACTTCAAGTCCATAGGAATCCCTTTTTTGTTGAGCCCGTCACAGCACCATCATGTAATGCATTTACTTGACAAGCATAGCGATGTCAGGACATGTCTAAGAGGCCAGAGTCTGTGGGTTGTCTGTTACACAGCACGCATAGGGGTTTCCATTTCTCTGTTCTCTGTGATATGCGGAGGCTCATTCTACAGCTCAGCGGATTCCAAAGGAGCATCTTTAACTGTAGCAGCTAGGTCTCCAGTTATCATGGTTTGCCTCTTGCGGGACAGACTTTCTTCAATACCAGCAGGGATTACCATATGCTTGGCATGTCAGGTATTCCTTCTGCTATCTGAGAGCGCTGGCTCTGCTCAGCTCAAGCTGAGGAGGTCCCATGCTTCTGTAACACTCAGAGGGAGCAGAAAACCATGTGGGGAAATTGGCAGCAACAGTAGTCTGTAACCCAGGGAAGACCAGGAGGAGTGGACCTGGAAGCAAAGCAGCCTTCCAAGACTCCAGTTTGCTGAGCAGAGACAGAGAGAATCACATAAAATAAGTGTGGAGCCCCAACATGTAAAAAGCTTGAGAGTTGTCACTCCCATCTTTAGAGTAAGTAAACACTGAGCAAAGTGGAAATCAATAACTTTTCTTGGACCTATTAGAGAGAACTGAAGTTTCAGGCAAAGCATCACCGTGGACTGCAAAGAGTCAGGTGTCCAAGAAGACATAACAATCTTAAGCATGTCTGAACTTAATACAAAGGCATCAAAGTACATGAGTTATGAAACTGATAGAACCAAAAGGAGAAACAGACAAATCCATTATTATTTTGGAGACTTCGGCATCCCTCTGTGAGTAATCAATAGATCAGGCAGGCAGAAAATCAAAAAGAATATTGATAACTTAAACCAAACCATTAATCAACTTGATCTAATTGACATTAATAGAATAATCCACCTGACAGCAGTAAAATACACATTCTTCTCAAGCTTTCAGGAGACATTCACCAATATAGACCACATTTTGGACCATAAAACACATCTTAAAAAATTTAAAAGAAGAGCAATCATACAAACTATGTTCTCAAATCACAATGGAATTAAACTAGAAATCAATAGCAGTGAGATAGCTGGAAAATCCCTCAAATATTTGGAAATTTAACAACACACTTCTAAATAACTCATAGTTCCAAGAAGAAGTCTCAAGAGAAATTTAAAAATGCTTTAAACTAAATAAAATGAAAATTCAATTATCAAAATGTATGGGATGCAGTGAAGGCAGTGCTTAGAGGGAAATTTATAGCATCAAACGACTGTATTACAAAGGAAGAAAGATCTAAAATCAATCAAGTTTCCAGCTTAGGACACTAAGAAAGAAGAGCAATTTAAGCCTAGGCAAGCAGAAGAAAAGGAATAATAAAAATTAGAGTAGCAATCAATGAAACTAAAAACAGTAGAGAAAAACAACAAAACTAAAAACTGGTTCCTTGAAAAGATTAATAAAATTGATAAACTTCTAGTCTGACTGAGAAAAAAATGAGAGAAGACACAAGTCATCAAAGTAGGTCTGAAGATGATGATCTCATTTGAACATATGATACATGTGGATATTCTTATATCAGACTCCTCTTTTCTTAAAGGAGACTAACAAAACAAACTAAGTAAATAATTTTTGCAGCATTTTTTTGTTTACTTATTGTCATGACAATCATAAAACATTAAATGGATGGATGTTGGATGGATGGAGGAATAGATAGATGAGGATGGATTGATGGATGCTGATGGATGGATGGATGGATGGTAGGTGGGTTGATGGATGATGGATGGATGGTTAATGGAAATATGAGTGGGTGACTCATGGATGGATGGATGGATAATTGATGGATGGATGATGATGGATGATGAATGAGTGGATTATAGATGCATGATGGATGGATGGAGGGATGGATGGATGATGATGGATGAATAGATGGGTGTATGATGGGTGGGTGGATGGATGATGGATGGATCAATGATGGATAGATGGATGAGGGATGGGTGGCGGGATAGTGGGTGGGTGAATGACGATGGACGGATAATGATGGATGAGTGGATGGGGAGATGATGGATGGATGGATGATGGATGGATGGAGCACACTGCTGTAAACAGATAAATAAGACTACAGATGAAGGCTACTTCCTGGGATCCACTGGCTCAGATATCGTAGCCACTCTGGGCTCTTCCAGTCCACCTTGAGGGATAAGAATGGTAGTATCTCCACTAGCCTGGCTCTTTGATTTGCATATACATGAAATTTACTTGTATTATTACAATAATGTTTATATACCTGTCATCTGGCAAACCATCCAAGGCAAACAGGAAATCACAGTTCTCCCTCCTCAACAACCCCACCCACACACCTCTTTTTCAGTACTCCAGAGGCCCCTTCCTCCCTAAGTCTAGAACTTTTGGGTAGCAAATGGGAGACCTGCAGCATAAAAGGAGAGTTGACCAAAATGTATCTGTAGGAGATCTGTCAGTGCGTGGTGGGTGGGCAACAAGCAAGTCACTTTGCTGGTGGGGAGCAGCTTCCGACATTTTGTGCCACAGGACACTTGGTTGGCGTAACCGCTGAGCAAGGCAAACTGAGACATTAGCATCCATAAAGGAGACGCTTTGTTAATGGCAAAGGATTAGTAACCGCACAGTCCTCTCACCCACTCAATATCTGCTAATGTGCCTGATACTGCCCAGGGCCTGGGCATAAAAAGAGAAAGGGAACTAGTCCTTTCCCTTGAGGTGTCTACTGCAGAGCATTCGTTCACACAGTCAGTCATTCGCTCAGTCAGCGTGGACTGCCTGTGACAGGGTGAGCTTAGGCGTGGAATGTAAACAGGGTGGACATGGCCCTGTCCTCCTGGAGTTTAGAGTCTAGCATGTCTAACAGAGGTCCATGCAACAGGCAGATCTCTGTGGAGACAAGAAGTGCTGGGTTCTTCATAGAGAGATTAGAAAATTTCTGACTGAAACTTCAAAAGGATTCTCGTGAGTAGATGGAAATTCAGTTGGAAGACTTTGATTTTTAAGGATTCAGGATTCTAAATTCAAGCTCTCTAATTTATAAAATAAGTAGATTTGTGGCTGTGTGTTTTAAGTTGGGCATTCTTGGTATTTATCTCACTGGCTTTGGGGCTTTAGTGAAACAGTCATCATGTAGTCACCGGAAAGAAGATCTCACGAGATCCCACTACTTCAGATGGGAGTATATTTGGTGTCAGAGAAACTTCCATCCTCCCATGGGCCAGATTCAAGCTTCAGTTTTTCCAGTGTGATGCGTAAGCCTGAAATAAGAAGTATATTCTACTAGAAGCTGATGTCCTCAATCAGCTTGAAAACGCTGGTCTTGACCAAAAAGCTCTTTATTCAGGTTTCCTTCATTCATCATCCATTCACTCAGTAAATGTAGCGAACGTCGTCTCTGTGTCGGGTGCTGGGAATCCAAAGATAAATATGACCTGGCCCCTGTCCCTGGGCGTCCAGTAGATAAGATTTGTGCGAATTACAAATCAATGTGTCTGTGCCCCCAAAAAATTAAACACAGAGGGAGCCTGGGAGAGTTGAGAAAGGCTCACAGAGAAGATGACATCCGATGTAGCTTCTGAAAAGGAATTGGCTGGCGGGGAAGTGCACAAGGGCCTTTCCGCATGTGACAAGCATCCTCTGATTGGGGACATTGAATTCCGAGTAAAGGATAAATAGGGACAGAGAGAAGAATATGGGCTGGGGAATTACTAGCTGATAATGCTGCTAAGATAGATTGGGGCCAGAAAGTTATAGCTGCCTGAAAAAGGCAATCTCCTCTGTTATGTACTACATGAACGAGTGGTTTTGCCTTCTAAAATATTGATTTATGTTCGTAGATATATTGATGAGCAGCAGTGCACTATAGCTATGAAATCCACTGCTGTTTCTAGGACCACATTTAGCAGCCACACACATGCCAAGTTATAGCCTGCATCTTTCGTCAAAATGTTCTGTCCCCAAGATGACCTGGATAGATGGAGAACCAGCATAGTTAAGTGAATGCTGAGCAAAATGGCCAGATGTGGCAACTTATTCCCAGACAGTGTAAGGATTGGCAGCCAACACTATATGCTGAAAATATGTTACCTAAAACCCTACTCTTGTATTCAGTCAGTCCCTCATTTGACCCACAGATGAAGGCAGTCCCTAAACCTAGGCACCACTTCTCTGAGCATCTCCTGCCTCGGCGTGCCTTGTCACTGGTCCCAGGGCCAGAGGGTTGTGTGAGAGTGGGGGAGGGGCAGTCAGATGCCCCAGGACATGGAGGGATGTTCAGTTCCCTAGAACTCAGCCTATGCAAGCCTTCTTCCGCATGGCAAGGTGGCAAGTAAGCATCAGTGGAACAGAGGATGGCCATAAGCTGCTCCCAGATATAATTGTTCACTGAATTAAATCCAGAGGGAATAAAAGACCTTCAGTAGTGAGCAGCAAAGCCCCAGAGCGTTAGATGTCTGAGTGAGTGTTGTGGTGTGTGGAGGCAAGAAGCTCCTGGGAGGCACAGATCTGTGACAGTCTCCTCCACAACCACCTAATGCCTCTCTCCCTCATGGACAGTTTGGACAGGTGGCAGCTTCTGGAGTGTTAGCCAGAGAGGTGCCATCGCTCCTGGCTCTGCAGCCTCCCTGCTGCAAGTGCTGAAGAGCTGACCTTCACTAGTGACTCAATGACAGCAAGCCGGAGATGTCAATAAAACCCATTATAAGCGAAAGCACCCTGAAACTCAGGCATGTGGTTCAGAGAATTAATTCCTTCCACCCCCTCCCAGGCAGCCTTGGTGAAATTAAAGTGGGAATTGACATTCTCACGAATTTCCTGTTTCCTGCCTGTGTTTATGAGAAATCTAGGTCATGAGAGTTCATACCGTTCTTGTCCTGAGTGGTATATGCCATAGAAGGGCAATGCCCAAGGCTCACACGTGCCCTTCCGTTTTCTTCTTTCTCTGTCCCCGTGCAAAAGAGAAAGTGTCACAGCAATAACCACACTGACACTCTGGTCTTAAGTGGCTTCAGCATCTAGTCAAGAACATGTGTCTGGGCCGTTCACACTGGCTGTCATCAGCGAGGGGACAATCAGTCATGTGATGTCCCTGAACACAGAGGCAGTTGTCCTCCAGAGTCAGCCCAGAGTGGCCTTGGTGGATTTCTCCTTTCCTGCTCACCTCCGAAGGGCCTCTCATGCCGTGGAAGATCCTCACTAGTTGTTCAAAAGCAAAGTCCATCCTCTCCTTTCTCTCCAATCTCTTAAGTGTAAGTCAGAGAGTTTTCCTAATGAATGACTCTAAGATGAGTAAGGAAATCATCATTTTTGTCAATGTTCCTAAACTGAGAACAATTTTTATGAATTTATGAGATTAATGCATAACATTTCACTGAAGAAAAATAATGTTTTAGGAAGAAATAATGACCTGTGATCCCAGCACCTTAACATAATTATTTTCATTTGACATACTGGCTTCCAGGCTCTGCCCACAGGTAGGCATTGTTTGTAACTATGATCAGTATGTATGTAGTGTTCATCTCTCCTACTTTTCTTCACTTAACCTCAGATCTTCATAATTATCCTACTGAATAGCTAACCAAATATGTTTCTCTTGGTTGCTAATTCGTGATGTCTTTAATACTCAAAGGGGGCAGAGATTTAGTTTTTCATTATGTTCTTACAGATAATAATATTTAACTTTTCCTTGCTTTTTGAATGTTTTTTAGGAATAACTCCTGGAGTAACATCCCTGGTTCTTGGTATTTATTGCCTTAGTGATTTAAAAAAATGATGTAAATTTACAGTAACACTGGTAAAACCATGACCATTATAATTATAAACTAAAAGACCCAAGAGATATGGTTATGGAAACAGATGCCATACTTAATGGAAAATCATTGTCTTGCAAGCTTCTGGGTCTTTTTTACATTATTGTCTGCACTGGGCAGGCCTGAGTGGAGGCCTAAGGAAGAAAAAGAATAAAAAATGAGGAGAGTATTTTTGTAGAATCGCTCCCATTCCGTGACTCAGCATTTTTTCCTCCACTTGAGTCTATTTCTGGCGGGGTAAGGAGTCCATTTGCATGTGAGATACTGGTAGGTGTAGCTCAGAACAGGAGCTGCCCCCCTTAGCGAGGGAAGCTGGAGGTGGGGCAGACACAGACTCGAGAGCCAGACAGAGCTGGATGAGGGACTGTGCCGGGAGCTGGGAGCATCCAACTGTTAGAACATGGGTCTGCGGAGTTTCCTGTGGAAGAATTCTTTAATCCAACTGAAACTCTGATATCTAGAGGTATTGGCCTCATCTTTTTGCCATCCCTCTTCTTTCTGGGGCATTCTTGCTGTGAGTTACTGGCCACAGACATATCCTCCGACAGATATTATGGCGGAGAATGAAGCAGAGAGATCTGGCTCCCAAGAAGGAATGCCTCATGGGCAATCACTGAGCAGTGCAGCTCCCAGATCACAGCAGGGGAGACGGGGGTCATCAATGGTGCCTAACGAAGGCACAGAGAAGGAAGATGAGCTGTAACGCATGTGATAACAGTGCAGAGCACTGGAGTGGAGACCCTTGGCCCTTCCCCTGCAGATTAGGAGCCATCAGGGAGTTGAGATGTGCTGACGACTCATCCTCTGCTGACTGCTCAGACCAGAATGATCACCGTACCCGACACCAGTACAGCACGTACAGCTGGAGAAACATTTTAATGTACATATTAGACATGATGCTGAGTGCCTTGGCAAGGTCATTCAGCTGCACTGAAATGAGTGTCACTTAGTCCTGGGTCCTTTGCGCCTGGCTCAGTCTGCACTCAGGAGGTGCTCACCAGTGTGTGAGCTCAGCTGTTCTGTCTCTTGAGCCCATCCTTCTCCTTTGTACCCGGCAGCCTCTGTGCAATAAACTCTAGGCTTTGTGTAGCCTTTGCTCCACAGTAGCTGAAAAATCAGACAGATGTAAAGATGCTGGGTTCACCCTGAAACCTCCTTACCTCCAATGTAGCTTCCACATCATGGGAGTTCATACCTCTGTGGACCTCTCTGGTCTGTTTTGGGGTGATAGAAATTAGAGCAGCCTTCAATGTTGCTGATTAGGAGAGAGGTTACTGTTTTTCATGGTCTCCCTGGAAGGGAGATGCTGAAGACAGAAGAAGAGCACAGCTTTGGGGCAGTAGCCTTGGACACTCATTGAACCTCTCCAAGCCCTGCCCCATGAAGGGCAGTGATAACAGTTGCTACATGTGCTATCGTGAGGATTAAATGAGATGGTCACACAGACCTTCCCTGAATGGAGAGAAGGAATCATGCTGGACCCTTGCAAAGCGTGTCCCCTTCCTCCCAGCAGCCTCTTGCCGCTTCTCCTGTCAGGACAGGCTGTAGGCTCTACTCCACGTGCCATCTGCAGCCACTTGTAACTGCAAATCTAATGTGGTGTTTTCTCTCATCTCTTGTAGGAGGTGCTTGAACTTGCTTTCTCCATCTTGTACGACTCAAACTGCCAACTGAACTTCATCGCTCCTGACAAGCATGAGGTAAGGGTCTCAGTGGGGTTCATGTATGAGAGAACGTTGCATTTTCTCCGGAAAAACACTGGCAAGAAGGAAATTTCACGTTTTTTAAAGAAAGGCCTGCCTGAAAAAAATCATGAACAAAGAGGCATCTTGTTGACTTGAAATAGGATAGAAACCTCTTGAAAAACTGCCAGTTACAACAGGTTGAACTTCCTAGCAGCTTGATCTGGAGTTCACAGTAAAGAACAAAGATGTACAATGCCTCAAACTCAGCACAGGCATCATTGCTGATCCGGAGAAAGCAGGAGCCCTCGTTATAATTTTGGTTTCCATTGAATATTTAGTTTTTGGTCTAGATTTTTCCAAGATAAACTAGTCTATTCTTTAAAACATCCGATGAATTAGGGCTTCTACCAAGTTTCTTTAAGCTATTTTGAGAGGTTTAGGGCTGTCTCTGCTGTTAGGATTTTGTTTTCAAGATGTTTTTATTCCTTTTTGACATCTCGTTATATGTATAATTTGTTTCTCTTCTTGAAGCACGCTGTCAGCTATATTTAAAATATTTAGCAAAAGTCTAGGAAAATGAATTTGTAAGATAAAGTAGCAGTTATGGTTGATTTAACTTTCTTTTGTAAAATGGAATCCAACATCATGCTTGAAACTTATTTTTAGATGATGCCATTGAAATTTTTGTTTTGCATGTGGTTGCATAAACAGCTTTTAGAAAGGAAGGGAACATTTTAATAGAATCTGACTGTTGTTCCCCATTTCCCCTAGGACATGTAGCTCATTTAGAAGTTATTCAGTATCTGGTTTTCACTGGTTTGAAGCTTTTGAATAAAATTGTACATCCCAAAGAGACAGAAAAGATTAGACACAAATCTTGCATTTAGAATGGTGCTTAAATATAATTCTGTGTCACTTGACATTTAGTTTGCTGAAGGGTAAGACTTTGTCTTCATCTTTCTGAAAATAGATACTGTGTCCTACTGTTTCTGTTTTTAAATGAAATTGTGGTTCTGCACAGACCACCATATTTAAGATGTATAGAGCTGAGTAGAAAACCACTTAAAGTAATAGAACTTTGGATGTGATTTAAATGTATACACGGCTGCTTTCCCCAGTGTACATTAATTCCAGGTAAGGATAAATGCCATGGGAATGCCAGATTATTACTCATATCTGCCACTTCTTATAGATACGACCAAGAGGAAAATGCCACATGCTTGCGAACACTTTCAATTTCTTTAGACCACTTTCTTAGCTATTACCTCATTTTATTTTCATAATCACTCCATAAAATAGAAAGTTCTATTACAGATAGTGTCATTTATCAATGAGGGGAAAGAGGCCTCCCAGAACTGAATACCTCAACAATAGAAAGAATCGTAGCATAGTTGACCCTCGAAGAACACGAGGGTTGGGGCACTGACCCCTCTACCCCCGCAGTTGAAAACCCATATATAACCTTTGACTCCCCCAAAACTCAGCTATTAATAGCCTGCTGTTGACCTACAGATAGCATAAGCAGTAGATAACACATATTCTATATGTTATATTATACTGTTATACAATTGAGTAAGCTAGAGAAAAGAAAATGTTATTAAGAAAATCATGAGGAAGAGAAAGTATATTTACTATTCATTAAGAGGAAGTGGATCATCATAAAGATCTTTGTCCTCGTCGTCTTCATGTTAAGTAGGCTGAGGATGAGGAGGAAGAGGAGGGGTTGGTCTTGCTGTCTCAGGGGTGGCAGAGGAAGAAGAGGTGGAGGAGGTGGAAGGGGAGGCAGGAGAGACAGGCACACTCTGCATAACTTTTATTGAAAAAAATCCACCTGTAAGTGACTCACACAGTTCAAACCCGTGATGTTCAAGGGTCAACTACAACTGTAATTATAACTAGCCTGGTTTACTCTCCCAGCCACCATTAAATGCTATATACACACACACACACATACACACACATATGCACACGCACACACACATATTTATTTATTTATATGCATAAATATAAATATGTTATTTATATATATATATTTCACCTCATTAATCCTTATATAACTCTATGAGAAACAAATTAATATTATCCTCATTTTATAAAAGAGGAAAATGAGGGACAGAGAGGTTAAGAAACATGTCCAAGGTCACACAAGTAGTAAGTCATGGAGCTGGGATGTGAACCCTGGAAGTCTTGCTCCAGAAGCCCCTCCTTTAGCCCCTGCAGTGTGGAGCTAGGAAGGGATAGAGCAGGCACTGAGCCCACACCTTCCTCACTGAGCTTCTGCAGTCAACTCATGGCCAATCTGGTTCACCTATGCCCCCACTCACTCTTCCCCCCACACCCAGCTGCCACCCGCAATTATTTTGAAGCAAATCCAGGTATCATATCATTTTATTTGTAAATATCCTATATGCATTTCTCAGTAATAGTCAACTTTGAAGCATAACTTCAATGCCATTATCACACCTAAATAAATTAATAATGTGGTGATTTTAATACCATCATGTGCAATATGTTTCCAGATTTCTCCAATTATCTCATTTGCGTTTTGCTCCTTCTATTTTTTGTTCAAGTCAGAATGCAAATAAGATCCATATATTGCAGCTGGTTGACATCTTCTTTAGGTTTCTCTGAATCTACAGGTTCCTCTCTTTCTCTGTCTCTCACAACCATTAGTATGTGCTTTTTCTCCTTGCAATTTATTTATTGAAAAAAACAGGTTGTCAGTCCTATAACATTGCCAGTAGTCTATATGTGCTGATTATAACTCTGTGTATTAGTTTACTCTTGCTACTGTAACAATCTACCACAAACTCAGTGTTAGTTTTAAATGACACAAATGTGTTATCTTACAATTCTGGTGGTCAAAAGTCAGACGCGGGTCTCACTGGGCTAAAATCAAGGTGTCAACAGGACTGCGTTCCTTTCCGGAGGACCTACGGAAGAATCTAACTCCTTGCCCTTTCCACGTCTAGGGGCCTCCTCCATTCCTTGGCCCCCATCCGTCCCCAACAGGAGCAGACTGAGCCCTCATCCTGTCACTCCAGCCTCCTCCGTAGTCAAATCTCCCTCCCACATTTCTGATTCTGACACCTCTTCTGTTTTCCTCTCTCACTTTCAAGGACCCTTGTGATTACATTGTGCCCACCTGGGTAATCTAAGATGTCTCCGTTTTCAGGCCAGCTGATAGCAACATTAATTTCCTTTGCCCCAGAACCTGCTATATTCCAGCATCTGGGGAGTAGACTCTGGACATCTTTGGACGGCGGGTATTATTCTGCCCACCACAACCTGCAAAATCATTTCATACATTCATCTGTCCCATGTCCCTTGTATTTCTTATAAATTGATAGTTAGAGGATTAATCAAGTCCAGGCTCAATTTTTAACAGCAGCAATGGCTTGTGCTTTTGTGGTATCTTCTTGCCTCTCTTTCTTGGATGTCAGCAGCCACCCATGATGGATCCTGGGATCCATCAGAGGTTCCAAAAGGTTGATATCCCAATTCTATCATTCCTTCTTCACAGATTAGTGGGATATATAAAGAGAAACTGGCCTCATCAACTATTTGGTTACCCTAAAGTTATATGATATATATATGATAGGCAGGATAAATACTTGATTCACTTTACCAATTTTCAAAATATAAGCATCTTTCAAAGAAGACCAGTGAGGTGTTTCTGGTGTTTGAGTAAGTCATGCATTTAAACATTTGTGTCTCAATATGTTTCCATTGTTGTAATTATTAGTGTCTAAATTGTCCTATCTGGGACAAGTAGAAACACCATCAGCCTGGCTTCTGAGTTCTGTCAACATGACTCCTATGATAACTTTTTGGCAAGACTTGGTAACTTTCTGGCATTCTGGTATGACAAGATGCTCCATGTTCATCTTATATGTTTCCTGCCTTTTCTCTATGGAGCCTTCGTTACTTTTAGTAGGAAATGGTATTTAGTAACCAGAATCTGGGCATAAGGTGTGTTTATTACTACTTGGTCGGTCATTATTTTTAAGGCTTTTTGGGGATACAGATAGGAGTTATGATTTTTTTAGAGATAAAATACATCATTAGTTGATACTTGGTTCCAACTTGAATCCAGTACTACAGGGCTTTTATTTATTGGTCGATTGCACTCTTAATAAAATTTTTTTGTGCCTGCTGTTCTCAAAAGAAAAGCACCATAGAAATGTTCCTGTGGGTTAAATTCATCTGTACCAGGAAGCTAGACAAGGCTGGGAAGGCTCTGTATGAAGAGCAATAATCTCCAGGACTGGGGAATTTACCATGAAACAGTGTCAAAGCTGGAGGGGGCCTTTGAGAGTACAGAGTTCAGGGGTGTACCCATACCTGCATGTTTATCAGAACTATCTGGGAAGTTTTTATAAATAAAGTTTCTTCATCCCAGATCTATAAGGTCAGAATCTCCAAGGTAGGAAGTAGGTATCTATTTCTGTCAAGGTTATTTATGAAGAAATGGATCGTTAGACATGTTCAGAATCTGGCTAAGGTATTCATGAGGACACTAATGCTTCCTGAGATCCCTCAGCACTAACCTGATGGTTACATGGGTTAAATGCTTTGGTTGAGATCACACAGGCAAGGGAATAACAGAACCAAAACCCTACAATTGAATACTGCCCTCCTCAGACATGAATCTCACAGTACATCCACGGGGCACCTCCTTGGCTTAAAAAGTGCTACCACTGATGTGCACATGGTAGATTTCCATCACGTCATAGTGACCAAAGATTTATATAGTGCTTGCAATATACTTTTGGTACTTTTGTGTTGAGATCTGCTATCATATTCTGGAATACAGTGCAAATAACCACAGTGCAAAAGATAGGCTCAGTAGGGTCTAGCATTGCCACTTGACCCAGCGAGGCCAGCAGAGGAGGAAATGTAGAGTGCATGCTGGAAGGAAGCCCAGTTCAGTGAGAAGAGGAGAGCAATTGCTGTCACAGAGTTCTGTGGAAAACTAGGGACGGCCTAGTAAGTGAGTGGAACGCAGCCTCCAGAACGCAGGCGGCTTTCTACCGTGCTGGCAGCAGAGGCTGGCTCTTTGACCAGGTAGCACGATTCTCTTTCTAGGTCAGGGCAGGACCCAGTCTCTGGGAGGGAAGTTGACAAGAGCAAGGCAAGTCCTCAGGTAAATAAGACACAGTTTCTCCCCTACCCCTCAGGAGTTTATAGTACAAAAGGCTATGATTAATTTTATGAGAGGAGAAGAACCAAACTTCTAGTTGGGTACTCTGAAGGGCTTTCCAACACAGGGGATGTCCCAGGGATCAGGCGCCAGAGATGTGGTGGAGAGAAACCCTGGGAAATTGGAGACCTAGGCAGACGAGGTCCCCAGACAGGCAGCCAGCCTCCCTCCCATTAAGATCACCCAATAATTATAGCCATTTTGGCTGTCAGACGTTGGACTGCAGAAGGCTATTTCCTAGCCCTTTTGTCGAAAAACAAAAGTGGGGCTACCATTGACTCCAGGGTGGGATGGGGCTGTCATGTGTGTGCTGTGAATCAGGTACAGGCAGAAACTAGCTACTACACTAGGAATCATAAGTGGAAGCAGCAAAAAAGCAAGCTTGACCTGCTGAGTCCAGGAGTGTTGGGAAAGATTCCACCAATACCTTAAAGTTGTGGGCTCATTGGTGGGATGTTAGAGATAAGACTGTAGATCCCAAACAGGCAAAGAGATGATTCTGCCTGCAGATTTTGAGGCAATGTACACTGTGCTGCACATCTGTGCGTTGTGACTGGAATCCCCTGAGGAGTACCTTGTGTGGCCATGGAGAGCGCAAATCCTCAGCAGCTACGGAAGGAGGCATTCCTTGCAGAGAACAGTGCAGGCCCGGGGGCCAAATTGCCAGGATTCAAATTACACCCACTCCACCTACTACCCAGTTACTTCACTTCTCTGTGCCTCAGTTCCCTCACCTGTAAAACAGGGGTAGATGATAACAGAATTGTCAACTTTATAGAGGTGCTGGGAAATGACGATGTAGACAAAGCACTTAGCACAGGTTAGTATTCACTAAATGTTAGCTATTTTTACTTCTCCTGTAATTGTCACCAATAATGATTGCTGTCATCTCCCTTCCCGCCAGTACTGTATCTGGACAGATGGGCTGAATGCACTGCTTGGGAAAGACATGATGAGCGAGCTGACTCGGAATGACCTGGACACCCTGCTCAGCATGGAAATCAAGCTCCGCCTCCTGGACCTGGAAAACATCCAGATCCCAGATGCGCCTCCGCCCATCCCCAAGGAGCCCAGCAACTATGACTTCGTCTATGACTGTAACTGAAGTGGCCGGGCTGGACGCGCCTTCTCCAAAACTGGAAAATCTAGCTAACAGAAGAGAGGAATAAAAACACGCCCACGCCTTGGAATCCTCCTTTGGTGAAGGGAAGCTGTGGGTCGACACTCCTTCAGCCTCACCTCTAGCCCTGGCACCTCTCAGCCCTGCCCTGGCATCTTGCTCACCTCCCTGACTCTGTTTCTAGGCTCCACTGCTTTAGGTCACTTCCCATTGCTGCACTCCGCTGGTGGGACAAGAGCAAAGCCCACCGCCAGTCAGAGAGCCAAGGAGCCCTGTCATCCCAGCCCTTATCCCAGTCCTTCCTTCCCAGAGTAGGGGCCCGCCAGACCCAAGGGAATGCCCCAAGGCCCGTGTCTGGAGGAAACAGCCTAGCATCCTCCTTTCCCTTCTCTCTAGGGTCAGCTCACACTTTTAGCTCCATTCGAATTGAGATCTGCATTCAAGTCTCCTCCCTCCTCCCTCCCCGCCTTGGCCTCACCCTGTTCCTCTTTGTTCCAAGAGCCGCAGCAGCTGCTGCTGCCTTATAGTAGCCCTCGCCAGCACTGGGTCTCGCAGACACACAGTCCCCAGGTTCCACGCCCACTCTGCATCTGCACTGTGACCGTCACCAACCTTCCCTCCTCGCTAGCTAGTCTGGGATTTCCTCTCCCTGCCCCAGGCCAGACCTGCCTTCATTTCCACACACGCTCCCAGCCTCTTAGCTGAAAGCACAAATGGTGAAATAGTAGTCACGCTCCATCTCTGATAGACTGCCTCTGTGACAGGCTGTTGCTATCCTAGGGTTTGGTGTTACCGTCTCCACAGGATGGTCACGCTGTCAGACATCCAAGTTTACATCATTGTAATTATTACAGGTATTTACAATTTGCAAGGGTTTTGGGTTAGTTTTTTTGTTTGTTTTTTTTTTGCTTTGTTTTTGTACAAAAGAGTCTAACATTTTTGCCAAACAGATATATATTTAATGAAAAGAAGAGATACATAAATGTGTGTACTTTCCAGTTTTTTTTTTTAATTATTTTAATCCCAAACATCTTCCTGAGAATAACATTCCCTTAAACATGCTGTGGAATAAAATGAATTGTGATGAGTTGGGGAGCTGCTGTTTTGATTTGGTAACTTAGGTTCCTGCTACTCGGTCACTGGCACCCGGAGGCTTGTTGGAAATGCCAGCCCTTCGCCCCCACGCAGACCTGCTCAATCTGGTGATTTGTGTGCATGTCAGATTGAGAAACACTGCTCTTGGGGACCCTGGACCATTGCAGGTCACCGTGGGCTCTGAGCATCAGTAGAGAATGTTACTTCTGAGAAGACTGTCCAAACTCACTGAGAAAATCAGACCCACTGTGTGAAAATGTGATCTATTCATTTTACATTGTTGCCTCCAAACGGTGACTTTCCTCTCTTTCTTTTTTCTTCCTGGCTGTTATATAATTTATAGAACTGATCAAATTAAATACATCACAACTTCGAGGGAGCACATTTAGCAATGCAAAAGAATGCAAACCCACAGACCTGAAATAAATTAAGCCAGAACTAAATAAATCTAATTGTGAATTAATAAATTACGGATCAGAGCCCAGCAAAGGGATTTTCTTAGGTCATTCCCACTACAGGCATCATCAGGATCATAAACTCCAAGGGCTGGGAGGGGTGTCAGAGGGTGCAAGCATGCAGAACTAAGCGCGGTGCAGCACGAGCCGCCCCGGACTCACAGCACAGGCAGTAGCTGCATCGAGGTCACTGCTCTTTACTGTCATCAGAATGTGCAATCGCAGAGTGACCTGGGCTGAGATGACATGGTCCAGCGCACTCCATAAATTGCAGGGAAAAGTCTTTTATAACTCATGGTCATCCACAGAGGGTCCTTCTTCCCATCACAGCACTCACCTGAGTGTCGAGTTGACAATTCCTTTATCATTAAGCTTCAATGCTATTAACATGTATGTCCTTCCTGTCAGGAGCAGTGATAAATCTACCCATCATCATGATAAAATGCTAAGTGTTAGGCAAAAGAAAGCAAACAAAATCATGTTATTTTTACTTAGGCATTACAAGATCCAGTCTCTGAAAAGGAGAATTCCCTGAATGAACATCTCTGAGGTCCTGGGACTCTGAGTTTAAGAGATTGATGGGTCCTGTGACCCCAGCTGGGAAGATCCAGCCCCTCTCTCTTCTGGCACCCTACTGGTGGTGCAGGTAATAGAAATGAACCCTTTTAGGACTATAAAAGAGCATTCTCCTACCTTTCCCTGGACCCTTCTCCCTTGGCCCAGAGAGATCCCGAGAGTGTGCCATCACTGTTCTGTTTTTCCTCATTTCGTGGCCACGTGGGGAAGGGTTGCTGCCCACATTTGGCCACCTCATCTTCTCTTCCTAGGCAGCTCAAGGCTGTTTTCCCCATGCAGTGAGCCTATCAACTCAGGTCCAACACCTGTTGCCTGCAGTTTTCTAAGCCTGGGAAGCTCAGCCAAATCCAAGGCGAAAGTGAAGTAGGAAACCTGATTTTGTCAGTAAGTCCAACTTGCATTCTCCAATTCGGCTTTACCTGAAATAGAACTGATAACATAATTTGAATCTGCTGATAGTTTAATAACTCCTATCTTGTTCAGAACCCATAGGAGGAAGGATAATTAATCAGCCCTCTCAAACTACTAAAAAGTGACTACTTTTAAGGGCAGGGAAAGCTAATAGTAATTGCAAAACAAAAAGTACAAAGTTGAATGTTTCTTGAATCTATTTGCAAGTCCATTCTTCTGATTATCTTCCAAACCATCCTCCAATTATCAACTATAGCACGTCTTAGTCTACCTGCTCTTATAATGAAGGAAGCAGTTCATGTCCCCAACGACATGTATACTTTTCATCGACTTTGTTTTAATTTTGAAAATATTTTACAATTTACATAAACTTTTAATTTTAAGGAGGAAATGAAATATTCATTCAATAATCAAAAACATGCTTAGAGCTAGACACTAGAAATGCAACAAGAACAAAATTTATAAAATTAACACTTGTAAAAGTGAGAACAAAATTTTTAATGTTGAGGAAATGACAATCAAGTAACTTAGTTAAATATAAAACCAAAAAGTTGCAGCACAGTATGGTAAATAGTATTATATAAATGTGTAAAATATAGATTAGTAGAAAGGAAGTTGTGACCAACATTTCCAAAAATGATATAAGGGAAAACAAGAGAGAAGTGAAAACTCGAGTGACATCTTGAAAGAGAGATGTTCACCTTGCAAGAGATAAACCTTCCAGGTGGAGCAAAGAGTACAAACAGAGCATGGAGACAGGAAAACCTGGGACTCATTCAGTATGGCTGGTGTGTAGGAGGTAAATGGGAGAGCAAAGGGAACTACTACCGCAGAGGAAAAAGGAACAAATCATGAAAATCCTGATAGAGCTGGCAAGGGACTTTTACTTGAGGGCAAAAGAGAGTGCATTAAGAGGAGGAATGTTGTCAGATTTGCCATTCACAAATACCACAAGGACAAAACAGCCATGTGGAGGAAAGATTGGAGTGGGAGAAAATTGAATGCAGAGATATTAGCAAGGATATTATTGAAACAGTTCCAAGCAAGCACCATTTAAGCCCAGACTTTGGTACCAGCAACAGGAACGGGGAGGAGGGTAAAGTTATTAAAAAGGCAGAATGAGCTGGAAGCAGGGACCTAATTAAGTGTGAGGGTGAGGGAGAGAGAAGAATGCAGATGACTCCTACACTGGGAAGAGAGGAAGAACAGGAGCTTTTAGTAAATAATAAAGTGAGATAATGAGATAGTATGCATTTGGTAGACTTCCCCAAACAGAAAGATAAGATTGGGGACAAGTCATTTAACCACTGTGAGCCTCTTACTTCACTTATAAAATGGATATCTTATTACTTGAAAGGATTATAAATGAGGTAGCTAGAAACTGTCAGTGAAAAGAGTAAATCTCTTGCCCTGCCCTCCCCTTCCCTTCACATCCCTTCCTGTCCTTTGTTATCCAAGGTGGTCTGAGTGTAGGATCTTTAGCATAGCTTAAGACCCTCCATATTCATGGGGGATTGGTTCTAGGACCCTGCAGATAGCAAAATCCACTGATGCTCACTCAAGTCCCTAACATAAAATGGCATAGTATTTGCATGTAGCCTATGCACATCCTCCTGTATACTTTAAATCATCTCTAGATTACTTATAATACCTAATACAATGTAAACACTATGCAATTAGTTGTTATACTGTATTATTTTTTTAATTTGTGTCATTTTTGTTGTTGTATTGTGATTTTTGTTGTTTGTTTTTCCATCCACTCTTGGTTGAATTTGAGGATGTGGAAGCCACAGATATGGAGGACTGACTACATATCTACCAATTCAACCTGTTTTATGGAAAAGAAAAATAACAGAGGCAAAGGAAGAATGGAAAGTTTAAGAGTTTTAATATATTTCTTGAATTAAGGATTTGAGGTAACACAATAAAACCACAATTTAAAATAAATTCAGGGAGGAAAAGTATGTATGGTATAATCCTATATAAAAATATAGTTAGACCCCAATAGCATGAGGCATTACAAAGTAGGAACATGTTATAGCTAGAACAGAGAGGAATGGGGGAGAGAGAATAGTAGGAGATAAGCTTGGAAAACAGGACAAAGAACACTGAATGGCATGCCAAGGTGTTCCTTCATGTGACCAGGAGCCACTGACATATTTTACTTGGGTAAGAGACATGACCATATTTGCATTTGAAGGTCTCCACTGTCACACTGTCAATAGCCCCAAAGACCAATAGCCCAAAAGTTGGGGAAGAGTAGGACTGGAGGCTAAACATGTGCCAACGGTGCTTCACCTTTAAAGACTGAATGTATCAATCATTCAATCAATCAATCAATCAAATACCTGAGAGCAACTTGAGCCCCACAAAGATTACAAATGGGGTACTGTAAAAGAAATGAAACTTAATCATCACTGCAAGGACAGAAAAATAAAAGACAAAAGTATATACAGTTGACCCTTGAACAACAAGGGGGGTCAGAGTGCCAACCATGCAGTCAAATATCCAACTATAACTTTTGACTCCCCAAAAGCTTAAGTATAAATAGGCTACTGTTGACTGAAAGCCTTATCAATAACAGTCAATGCATATTTTGTATGCTACATGTATTATATACTCTATTCTTACAAAAAAGTAAGCTAGAGAAAAGAAAATGCTATTAGGAAAATTATAAAGAAAAAATATAGTTACTATTCATTATGTAGAAGAGGATCATCATTAAGGTCATCATCCTCATCCCTCATCGTCTTCACATTGAGTAGTCTGAGGAGGAGGAAGAGAAGGGGCTTGTCTTGATGTCTCAGGGGTGGTAGAGACAGAAGGAAATCTGCATATAAGTGGATCCACACAGTACAAACCTGTGCTGTTTAAGGGTCAACTGTATTTTCATAGTTCAATATATAAATACAAAAATAGAAATAAGACCATATCATTCTTTCTCAGCCTAGCGAAAAAGCAAAATCCAAATAAATGCTGGTTACAAGATACGTGATTAAAACAAAATGACACAGAATAATCGAAAATACAAGGATGAGCAAGACACCAGCTAATCCAAAGTTCTAATGGGGTGTGTGGGGAGAGGATATGGCAGGGAAAGAGCAAATAGATATCAGGCAAAGTAAAATTGAAAATTAAAATACATGGAAAAGGAAGTTATTATATAATACATATGCTCCTTAACTTATAAT